AAATAGTTGTCAATTACTATGAATGAATAAAACATTCTTAAAAATTTTTTGCGACCTGAGTTTTAATAAATTTCAAGTCAGTTTCACCTTCACTTGGCAATTGTTTGAAATATCATTTTCTAAAATACTATTATGATTGGCTTGCCAAATGACATGCACTAACTTATTTATTTTTTGGTAGAGCAGACGAAGATCTGATTGCATGCAATGTCACGCTTTATTTTGTATTATGGCGGTCATCTAAACATTACGGATGAATTCATCTCTTTGTACATCGGTGGAAGAAATCGTTCGATTGAAATAAATGAGAATTTTACACTTGAATAGCTATATGTTAGAATTCTCCAAGTATTGCATCGTGATAGTGAAACATATCGGGTTGACCTCGTTTGTCATTTTTTAAATAACAGAGGTTATACAATAATTCAAATAATGGACGATGATGTTTGCGAGTTCATACTTAACAAATCTCGAATGCATATGTTAATTATTTATGTTCAAATCAAGCAACTTCGTATACACGACATAAGTCTCAGTTCTCATCATCATATGTGTTATCATGACCCGACAGTCTCTTACCAAGTAAACATGTTCATACACATCTAATATGCAATCAATGTAACTCAAATTCTGTCTAAATTATAATGTTCGAATTTAAACCTCACCATTATATTGTATTGTGTGTTGTATGCCCACTGCACTATCCATTGTTGTAGATGAAACTCGCTGCTTTAGAGTAAGCGAATGTTTATCAAACTATGAACCAATAAGTGTAAGCCGCTTAAGTTTGAGTGAGCGTCCAACATTGTTAGAACCACATGCAAGAGGGTGTGTATGTGTTAGTGATTGGATGGCCTTAGGCACACAGATGTTTCAGCTCCACTAGCAAACTTAATAGTTCGATTAGGGACATGATAGTGAAGCCACACCAGTTGTTAGAGCATATGAAACCATGGATAAAGGAACTAGTGAGAGCTCAAGTGAAATGCCCGCAGGGGATGAAAGAAACTCAGTTGTAGAAGAATACGATGTATCATTGCCTAAGTATGAGTGGTCTGTAAGCATGTATTTTATAACCAAGCTGAGTTAGGTGCTATGGAGGTAAATACTTCTAACGATCAGCAAGGCCTGGGATTGTATGGATGTTATTTTATTGAGGAATTAGAATGTATTATTCCCGAACAATTGTATGAAGGAATGACTTTCATGAATAAGGATGTCCTTCAATGTGCACTTAATGGATGGTCAATCATGAATAATGTAAAATACATCAAATATATATCCAATAAGACAAGACTTCAATTAGATATGCACAACACAATAATCTTTCTCTTCCATGCCTATGGCATCTTCACGTTGCAAAGAGCAAACAACTTGGTGGAATATGTAAAGTCTCATGCAGTGCTCATCCACATACTTGTATGAATTATATGATGTTAGGTCCACATTGTAACTATAACTCCAAGTTCATCTCTTACTATATCACCACCATTCTTCATCAACAAATAGAGTTGAAGCTACGTAAAATCATTGCTCGAATGGAGTCTAAAGTTGACATTAAGATCCCTTACATTAAGGCTTGGGATGCATGTTGGAAGGCTATTAAATTAGTTGTTTGGTAGTTTCGAGGAGTCATACTCCTCATTACATCATACATGCATGCCATTAAATATGCACTTCTAGGATAAGTTCTCAGCTTATAAGTTATTGGAAACAAGTTGTTAAATCAGTATTTTGGGCATTCCTTCCTATATCCCTTCGCATTTGCTTTTGTGGAGGTTGAGTCAAATGAGACATAGTTATGGTTCTTGTAGATGTTGTACGACCTCATTCCACATGTTCAAGTCCAATAAGACATCTACTTTGTATCTGATAAGCACTCTATAATAGTTAGAGGATGTCGGGATGTATTCCCTCATGCATCACATTGTACTAATTATGTTACCTTAGAGAAAACTTCAAGGAATTCATTTGGTGTGTTGGAGGTACTACCCTAATGGTGTTTATGAGAAGATGTACTTTGTTGGGAACACAAATAATTATATAACTTTTAACATACTAATGTCAGACAACAAAAATATAAAGCAGGAATCACATTAGTGGTTGGTCAAGCGAAACGTTAGTGGGTGGAGCCTTTTGTATCATGGTAGGTGTCATTACTAACCATAATGCTTCAGAGTGCCTTAATGGGGTATTAAGATGTGCTCGAGCCCTACCCGTCTAGTGTTTAATTATAGTTATTTATTATAACCTTATAGCCCTATTTAATAATCATTTTGCTAATGTGAGCACTTGGCTTACTGCTAGAGAGTCTCCATTCACCCTCATATAAGGAGCTTGTTGGAGTGATACGAGCATGAAGCACGTCATTGTCCAACCTTGATTTTTATAAATAACCAAGAGTACTAGGTTTTTTATAAGTCATGTAGGGCATTCAAGATAGAAATTGGTTATACTTCGATATGTGCCTGTAGTTGTCATAAGCCACAATTATATCATATGCCATGCCTTCATACTACTGTTATTGCTGGAGAAAAATAATGGGATTACAGTAGTTTGTTTCACCATACTACAACACATAGTTCTACCAACGAAGTTATGCAATCCTTTTCCACGTTATACCAGAGAAGGTATATTGGCCACCATTGATGAGGTTGAAGGAATAATACCATTACTACCACCAGCATTTTGGAGCTGGGCAGAGAGACCATGGTCTAGTAGATTCAAAAATACAATGGATGAATCTTGAAGGAATACTAATCGAATTTGCAAAGCTTGTGGTGCCATTAGCCATAATATTGTGACTTATCCAAATGGGGTGAGTTGTTCAAGGTCAATTGTTTAGTATGTATTTTTTTTACTCAAATTACATAATTTATATGACATATCTTCACTTTTTAGGTAGGGCAGACCGTAAAGATAGTGCTAATAACCAACCTACATTTAATTTGCAAGTAGTGTGATGTTATAGTGAGCTTATGCAAGAAATGGTATTAGGGTTGTATTGGTGTTCTACCTGTAAAAAATTTAAATTGTTGGGACTTATAATTTCATTATAAATTAGAGTGTTATTTAATGAATTTTTGGCTTAATAATATTAAACAATATAAAATATTAAAAATGTCTTAACTCATAACCAATAATCCAATAATAATAATAACATCATATTAAAAAATCACATTCAAACATACATGAACCTACACATTGATAAAACTTAATACATGTTAACACCAAAACATATTTTAGAGAACTAACACACTTAACAAAGTTCAACTAAAAATCTAAGCCCTTTAATCATTTCTGATCAACATGTGCAAGCGAGCTTGGAGTTGAGATTGAGTTGGACAGCGGTTAAATTTGTCTTGAAACTCATGTTGGATATATTGTCAGTCTAATGCATTCAAAAACTCCTTCCTCTTTTGACCTGACAAAAAGTTCAGATTCGCGTATGATTCAAGGAGGAATGCATCAGTCACATGATGCTATTTATGGTAGAAAATATAATGATATAAATCAACCGTCGGGATTTCTACTATCACATTAAAAGAATCATCTTCATGCCATCTAATTTCACAAAATTTAGCCATAAGAATATTTACTAGAGCTAAAATGACCACCGTGTTCCATAAACCTGTGCTGTAGAAATCTTCAACCCACATCACTCAAACCAACTCCATCACTATAAAAGGGAATTTTTATAACTTCATCATGTGTGTGCCACAATATGCAGTCTTCACCCTATGACCATAAATGCATACAACACTAAAAAAATTTCAATTGATTTGACCTTCTCCTCTAGGCCACCATCAATGGAATGAGCCAAATATTCCTTCAATCGAATGCTACCCTCCACAATCAATTTTTTTAAAGAAATTTTTGGAGTCCTGTACATGACATACAAAGATATAAAAAGTAGAAGATTTGCAAATGAACTTGAACATGTAGTATACATATTACATACATCTAAATAATCAAGATACACTCAATTATAGAACAAGACCATCATATATAATTAATATAAGTTGTTAAGAATTAAATAAATAAATAGACTGATTTGACGGTACATACTGATTTGACAATACAAACTAATTTAACAATACAAACTAATCTAAGAATACGTACTAACTGATACGATAATACTAACTGTTCTAACAAAATTGACTTGAGAGTACATAAACAGTACCAATATTTTTTTTTGGGTTATTATTTATTGAACTAAAAATTAATTTGTTAAATTTCAGATAATTTTGTAAATACAAACTGATTTGACAGTACAAACTAATTTGATAATATAAATTGATTTGAGAATACATATTGATCTCACAATATAAAATGGTCTGACTGAAGCAACTGCTTTGACAAAATTTACTTGAAAGTTCATAAATAGTATCAAATTTTCTTTTGTAAATATAATTCTAATTGAATTATCATTATTTTTCAAGTATAACATAATACTTAAATTAAATATGCAAAAGATCTATATTTATGTTGTCCCATAAGCAGCACCAATAATTTTTTTAAATGTTAAAATTCTCTTTGATGAACTGGTTTTTGGTAAAAGAATTGAATATTTTAATATAGATATAGCAGATCATGGTGGCTGATCTCACCGACGTCGAAGAGCTCATACAATGTTTTGAAACCGGAGGTTGGAGTACCAATTTCTATTGAAATTGGAAATTAATTATTCAGTTTTAATAGAAATAAGATCATTAATAGAAATAGAAATCAAATAATGATGCATCGATTTCTATTGAAATCAGATAATTAAGTTCCGATTTAATGATGTATCACTTTATGTTAAACCAAATAATGATATATCGGTTTAGAAATTGTAGAACCCGTAGGTTCTTGAACCACGCTTATGAGGTTCTTGAAATGGACACAGAGAGAAAATAAAACTATTATCTTATTCTCATATGAAAGCTATTACAGGCTATATATAAGCAAGTAGGTGAGAGTCTCTATTCACAGTCAGGGCCATAGATCCCCGTGATCAGATGTTTCCGCCGCCTAGATCTACCGTCTGGATCGCGTTCGCCATCTTCCTTCTCTTACACTTATCTCCATTGCATGGCTTCTACCTCCCCGGAAGTTACCCCCACAAGTACCCGATCGGAGATTCCCTATTCGTGAAGGTGAATTCTTTGACGTCCATTGACACCGAGATTCCCTTCGGCTATTACTCCCTTCCCTTTTGCCGTCCGCTCGACGGCATCAAGGACTCGGCTGAGAATCTTGGCGAGCTCCTCATGGGTGATCGCATTGAAAATTCTCCGTACCGCTTCCGCATGTTCACCAACGAGTCCGATATACTCCTTTGTCGCACCGACCCCCTCTCCATCGCCGATCTCAATCTTCTCAAGAAGCGCATCGACGAGATGTACCAGGTCAATGTTCTCCTTGAAAACCTCCCGCCATTCGCTACACCTCAAAGGACGATCTCGCCCTCCGGTGGACTGGCTTCCCTGTCGGAATCCGCGTCGGCGAATCATACTTCATCTTCAACCACCTCAAGTTTACCGTCCTGGTCCACAAATACGAGGAGCCAGCCACTGTCGCCGCTGCCTCGGCAACCTCCGCCACTGCCTCTGGCTCTATCTCAGATGCCCCGGGATATATGGTCGTCGGGTTCGAGGTCGTCCCTTGCAGCTTCCGTCATGCACCGAGTCGATTAAGAATCTCAAGATGTACGAGAAATACCCTACCAATATCCGATGCGAACCAACCAATGTGGCCATGGCGTTGAAGGACAAGCAACCGCTGGTTTTCACCTATGAGGTCTCCTTTGTCGAGAGAGACATTCACTGGCCATCTTGGTGGGACGCTTATTTGAAGATGGAGGGTGCAAAGGTTCATTGGTTCTCGATTCTTAACTCTCTAATGGTGATCGCATTCCTTGCTGGAATAGTTTTGGTGATTTTCCTAAGGACTGTTCGCCGGGACTTGACCCGATACGAGGAATTGGACAAGGAGGCGCAGGCCCAGATGAACGAGGAACTTTCGGGTTGGAAGCTTGTTGTTGGTGATGTCTTCCGTGTGCCAGGCAATGCCACTCTTCTCTGTGTGATGGTTGGAGATGGTGTGCAGATACTTGGAATGGCAGTGGTGACAATATTGTTTGCTGCTCTTGGATTCATGTCACCTGCATCTCGTGGCGCTCTGATTACTGGTATGTTCTTCTTCTATTTGGTGCTTGGCATTGCAGCTGGCTATGCTGCAGTGAGGATTTGGAAAACCATCAAGGGCGGCAATCATACTGGATGGATGTCTGTTTCATGGAAGGTCGCTTGCTTCTTCCCTGGTATAGCGTTTCTGATTCTGACCACTCAGAATTTTCTTCTTTGGGGTAGTCATAGCACTGGCGCAATTCCCTTCTCTTTGTTCATCATATTGATTTTGTCGTGGTTCTGTATCTCTGTGCCGTTGACTTTTGTGGGTGGGTACCTGGGTGCCAAGGCACCTCATGTTGAGTTGCCCGTGAGAACTAATCAGATTCCTAGAGAAATCCCTCCCCAAAAATACCCTTCTTGGTTGCTGGTTCTTGGTGCTGGGACACTGCCATTTGGTACCCTGTTCATTGAACTCTTTTTCATAATGTCAAGCTTGTGGATGGGTCGTGTCTATTATGTCTTTGGCTTTCTATTTATTGTTTTGATCTTTATGGTTGTTGTTTGTGCTGAGGTTTCACTTGTGCTTACCTATATGCACCTGTGTGTTGAGGATTGGAAGTGGTGGTGGAAATCATTCTTCTCATCAGGATCAGTTGCTATCTACGTATTCCTTTACTATTTGAACTACCTTATATTTGATCTCGAGAGTCTAAGTGGCCCGGTCTCGGCTTCTCTGTACCTTGGTTATTCACTCTTCATTGCTGAGGCCATCATGCTTGCAACTGGCACAGTTGGCTTCCTTTCTTCCTTTTGGTTTGTACACTACCTCTTTTCTTCGGTGAAGTTGGATTGAGTTCCTACCACAGGAAATACTTCAGGACCAAATAGCGATGTCATGAATATAGAATGTGGAACTTGTGAAAGAGAAATTGGGTTTAACTCGAAATAGGTAGAAATAATAAGATTTTGTCTCATTATTCTTTCATGGATGAAAATATTCTCTATGTAACCGTTGTTTATTGTCATATTCTGGAGATAGTAGTATTGTCTAAACTTGTATTGGTTGATATTTTGTTTTGATATAGTTAGAATGAAATGCACTTTATTTCCACTTTAGTTTGCATTATTGATTTTTTGAATGTGTCATTCCCAAATGCATATATCTAATTGTACATTTGATTAGTTTTTTGGACTTATATGGTTGCATGAAGCTAGATGATTTATGTTTTTACCTTCGATTTACTAAGATAAATCACTCTTATGCTCTACCATGGGTCGATTATGAGATTTACACTGTACCAAGTTATCATTGTTTTTCCATAGAGCTAGTCGATAATGTTTGTAAACACTAACATTTGCAATTAAGTAGTTTCATTATTTTGGACCTACTATTCCTTGTGCTTCACCTAGATTGCTTCCGTAGGGATTGTTTGGGATCACTTTTAGTTTTTTTTTTTTTTTTTCTTAGTGTGCTTTTTCATTATTTTTTGTTATTTTTAAAACAAATCAAGTTGGTTTTTAAAAAAATTGCTTAGTGTGCTTTTTCATTATTTTTTGTTATTTTTAAAACAAATCAAGTTGGTTTTTAAAAACACTCAAAGTAACTTTTAGTTATTTAGGATGTTTTTAAAAACAACTATCACCTTCGGCAATGGCTTTTACCATCAGCATTGCCTCATCAGCTATCATCATTGCCACCTGTGACTATTTCCATTGTCAACCATCATCATCACACCATGTCTTAAATAAACAAAGATAAATTGTTTTTAAGATATCAAACACATTTTATTTCACGTCAAAATATAAATAAACTAACATAAAAAAAAAAAGTGAACCCAAATGGTAACTTAGGTGATAGTTTCGCTTCATTACTACCCGCTACTTATTCCATCCAGCATTATAGACTTAATATAGTATTTTTAGCTATGAAATAATATATGTCCTATAAGTTTTCTTGAAAAAAGACACTTGTCCCCCGATCCTCATCTTTTTTGATCTCATACAATTTTATTTTCCAAAGGTCTCTTCTATTCATGATTCCAAAGACTTCTAGTTTTGTACTGCCTCGATCTATCTGGAACATAATGCAATCTAAAATGTGGTATTGCTTGTTTAGCATTGTTCTGTAACAACTGCTTCTCACACCACTCCATAGTCTAAAAGTCAGGTTGATGCTCTATGATCGAGAGTTTCGGATGATGTCTTTTTAAGAATTTATTATCTAATCTTACTATAACCTAAGTTAGCTACTTTAGTAGACTGGAGGAACCTATATGTTTCTCAAGAAAATATGTTCCATGATAGGGGTGTCAATATTTGACTTGATTCGAAAAATTTTGGATTCGGGTTGACTCATTTGCCATACGGGTCAGGTTCGGGTTCGAGATTCGACCCGTTTACAAAATCCGATCGGGTTCTGATTGACATGAAAACTCGAAGCTGACTCGGATCTGGCTGTCCTTGCGCTTGCCCGCAGTCCCTACACTAGCCTCGCGGCTCGACACTGGGTTCCTGTGGTCGCTTCGGGGCTCGATGCGGATCCTGTGATCCTGCACTCCCACTTGTGCCGATGTGCCCACACTCAATCCTGCGTCATGCCCCAGCGTCCGGACTGGCAAACACAGCACACTGCACTTGCGCACCACGCAGGCTGCGCTCTTGGACTCGGCTCTCGCCTGTTTTATGTGCTCGCGTTCGGGTTCACTGGTCGGGTCGGTCAGGTCAACCCAATAACTCGCACGGGTCGGGTCTGGGTCTGAATTTTCAACCCGTTTGCAAAATTGGGCCAGGCTCTGGTTGACCCGTTTGGACCCGGGTCAATTCTGGGTTTGACCCGAACCCGATCCGAAATCCCATTTTGGCACCCCTATTTCACGAGCTACCTTTTGTTATTTTAGATCAAAATTATGGATGTAGTGCTTCTTGTAACATTTGGTAAGTGATATTGCCTTATTAGGATCAACTTACATATTTCTCAAGCAATAAACCACCTGCAAAAAATATTATTTGTGCAATATTCAATGTGAACAACTAAAGAAAATAATTTTGAGTTGTTGAATTTGTGTTGATTTGTTGATCATTGTCTAACTTCCTAGTTTTTCTAAATAGAATTTTAGTTTATATGGGAAATATATTTAGAAAGGTACCATTTCGTATCCATGTACTTTCTCTCTGATTTCATGACCAAATTGATTAACTTATGAGTAATTTTTATTTTTTATATGAGAGTATAATGATTTTTTTTCCATATAACACAACAAATGAGCATCAAAACAATTGTAACAGAAAGGGCTGCTTTCAAGATTAAGATGGTGCTCTTCTCCACTCTTGATGTGCTTCTGACATTGATGGAGAGTTGAGAGGATGAAGTTGTACTAATGTAGCCATGACTTCCATAGGAAGCTTTGAATGAGATGCCTTAGAGAGGATATAGATGACCGTATGATCTTCTTTCTTTTTTCATTGAAGCATCTTATCCTTATTGCATTGTTGATCTTCAAATGCTAGTCATTCCAACGCTCCCAAACTCATGAAATTTATCGAGGAATACAAATGAACTAAGATTGGATGAATGAGAAGCTATTGCTTTCTATTGTGTTGAAGAGGGGCCAAGTGAAATGTTACAGGATGTGACACTTTCTTTCTATGAATTTGCTCTCTGTACTTGCCTTTTGGCTTGCCCCATCTTCCATGGTATTAGTCTTTGAATCTGACCACTCTGAATTTTGTTCTTTTGGGTAGTAATAGAACTGGTCCGATTCCCTTTCCTTTGTTCATGTGCCTTGTTGCCAGGGCATCTCATGTTGAATTCCCTGCGAGGTTTCATGTGCATTGATTTCTTATTCACCATGACAAGCTACTGAGTGTTTCCAACGCTCCCAAACCCTGGTTTACCTCATCTAAGGGCACCTTGTAGATAAGGGGTATAGTACTAGTCCTAGGTTTATAGACATTAATTGTAGGGGGGAATTTTTAAAAGGATTATGTTTTAAAATTGTATTTGCAAATGTAACGTAATAGAAATTAAATTTAAAAAGGATCATACCAGTTATAATTGATAGTGTTTCTTAATAAAATGCTTATTTTTATGCCAATCAAATTTTGCTTATCTTCTTTTTTGGCATATTTGAAAGCTATACATAAATTACTAATTTAGTAGATGTAATAATTTTAAACTTATATTTTGACTTAAAATTTGAAATAACTTATTTACTTTAAAATTAATTTTTGAAAATTTTGGAATAATTTTAAAATATTTTACTTTTTTGAAATTAAAATTAAATAATTTAAATTTGTATATATTGAATTGAATATAAGTATTGATTTATTAAGAAATTATTGATTACATAACATTTATTCATTTATTATAATTAGTAGAAAATTTAACTAATGTTAAACTTTTCTCATATTAAACCTCATAGATTAAATTTTAGATTAAATTATTTTAAAAATAAATTAAATTGATTGAGCAAATTTAATATTAAATTTAAGTATATTTAAATAAAGAAATATTTTAAAAATAAATTATTAGTTTTTTTTTTATTTTTCTAAATATTTATTTCTTGATTTTTAAAAAGTACAAAAAATTAAATATAAGAAAATTGATCTTATTTTTTTGTTAGTGGGGAGCATTTTTATAATTATAAAAGAACTAATAAAGAATAATTATATATTTAATGAAAGAAATATTTCATCATGAGTATACTACATCGTGACATGTCATTTTTATGGTGTACACTAATTCAATAATGGGAAGGATGCCTCCGATCTGCCATGAATAGACTACTCGTTTCCCATTGATAAGTTGGAAGCATTAATATATACAAATTTAATTATTTTATTTAATTTAAAAAAATAAAAAATTGTTAATTTATATTATTTTAAAAATTAATTTTAAAATAAATAAGCTATTTTAAATTTTAAGTCAACATATATGTTTAAAATTATTACAAATAATAAATTACTAATTTATGTAAAGCTTTCAAATTATAAGCAAAAAAAGGACAATAAGTAAAATTTTATTCGTACCAAAATTTTTGCAACTTGGGATATTATTTAAAAAATTTCGTCTTTAATGGAAAACACAAATCTATTTGATCTTTATAAGAATTACGTTTTAAGCAAAAAACGCAACGCATAATAGCATTTTCAGCATAAAATGCCTGCATAAATTATGTTTTGTGCTGAAAATGCAAATGATCTTTATGTTTTATTGGAAAATGCAAAATTTTATTACGTTTTATTAAAAAACGCTATCAACTAGAGTTAGTATGATCCTTTTTAAATTTAATTTCTATTACGTTCCTTTTTTTAATACAATTTTAAAGCATGATCCTTTTAAAAATTCCCCCTTAATTGCATTCCACTATCATATGAGAGGCATATATTAGACTTAAAGTATCGTATAATGGTACATGTCAAGGATGATAGAAAAAACATATGCTCTAAAGTCGATAGGGAGAAGAGGGGACTTTTAGTTTACTATTTTGTGAGAGAGAGGCTTAGATCGGACTTATAGTATCACTTGATGATACGTGGCAAGGATAATAAAGAAATATAAGCTCTAATGCTGATTGGAGAAAGAAGGGACTTCCATCTTAATTATATGGGATAAAAAAGCCCTAACATTTTGTGGTAGAGAAGATATTCATCATGGGATTTATAACTTGATTATCAAGCAATTCAGAAATTGAACTTACATCATGCATAAGTCAGAAATGTCAACTTAACACTTACGTACAAATGCAAAAGTGTGATCATCATCAAGTCAAGATGATATGAGAAAGATAGACACATCTTAAGGCTAGTATGTATATAAATGTGTGTGGCCTACTTTAGTTTTGTTATCTCTCGTAGCATGGGATCCTTATCTATATGTAGACTCACATGACTATGCTATGATGTGCATCATCTAGGGTTTGTTGATGATGGAATCATGCATCAATGTTTCATGATGATGTACCAAAATGCTCAATTATGATATATATATATATATATATATATATATATCATGGATGTGGAGTGTTCATTTTATTTTAATTTGCATATTTT